TACAGTGTATATGCATTTCCTTAATCACCTGTCCAGTCATGGTTCTGATTGGACATTTTACTTGTTTATTTGTTAACTAATCTGTAATGGGACCTTTGTACTCATTTGTTCAGTCTTGTTTTATCCTGATGGGGATTCGTTTTGAAGAGTTCCTTGTTTTAAAAAATATTGTCAGGTGGCATCATAACACTTGTATATGAGATGAGGGGAACAATTTTGAAATTAGTAAATTTTAGATAACTTGGATTGATTTCTTGAAAAGCAACACTGGCAGATAGTTCAATTTTAGTCGTGTGGAGATGTTTTAACAACAGTGTAATTATGCTAAGCCTCTAACAACAAACTGTCAGAGAAGTTTTACTGTTGGTACCAGGGGTCCACACACAGCCATCCAGTGTGGTAATGATACTGTTAAACACAGCTTGGAGGGGGATACAGATCTCTTGTAAGAATGGCTTTCTTTTTAACTTTTGTCACGTTCGTAAGATACAAAAGAATGGTTATTGCTGTAGAGAGATATGCCATGTTGGGAAGCATTACACCGAAGTTTTCAGCTTCAATTTATACACAAATTTCCTCCTTTGACAATTGGTACATGAAATTTTGACCCTTTTTATGGCTTTGGAAAATTTACATGATTTGTATCTTGGTTAGGCTGAAGTATTGATCTTCTTTGGTGTAAGATTGACTCAACTTAGTCCGGGATGAATGGAACTTCAAATTATGTATAACTTTTGTAATCATAGTTTCAAAATGTGTTGATTTAATTAAAAAAAATGACAATGTAGCTTATAAAGAGAGATTTTATTTATTAGCCATTGGGAGGCAGATGTGATGAAGTTTCCCAGTATTGACTGTATAGAAATGGCTGGCAGTGGCACCGTTGGTTGTGGTGTCCCAGTAGCTCACACACACGTACTTAGGTCTTTGCTTCCATTGTAGTGTGGCCTGTGTCGTCGTGTAGTGTTACATGTACCCTAGTAACAAAGGGTATGTATAAAGTCTAAGTGGTGACCATGGAAACAATACATAGAGTGCACAGGAAATGTTTTAAACCAATCGTCAAAGGCTATTTCTGCCAGGTGGGCTTCGTTTAATGACACATAAAATTTGCCTAGTAGTAGCCATGCAAATTATGGCCCGTTAAGAAATGTTGTCTTTTCAATTCTTTTGTTAGGGCGATAATAGAGAAATGGATTTGAATTTAAAAGGACGCCTATGTTCAAAAAATTACACTTCAAATTTTATGTTCCATATAGGTTGTATATATAATGGTGAGGAATTCTTTTAAATAGATGTTGTTGAAACTAGTTGGCTGTATACTTTGATCGGTCAACTATGAAACAAGTAATTCTGGTTATCTTTATGGCAAATATGCCATCTGTTTACCTATACCTGTTTCTATGGTAACTGTTTAAATAAAAGCCATTGAACGAATATGTGTACAACCACAAACTGATCAAAAACCAAATAAAGTTTAAATAGATTAAAATTCTGCTGTAGGAAAACTTTAAGAAAAAGACATATTTTCGGAATATTTGCAAATGTATTTCGTTACAACTGTTTACAGCTGTGATATGACATAAAAGGGGGGTTATAGTAATGGCATGACGGGGGTTATAGTAATGACAGGACAATAGGGTTATAGTAATGACAGGACTGGGGTGTTATAGTAATGACATGACAAGGGGGTTATAGTAATGACAGGACAAGGGGGTCATAGTAATGACAGGACAAGGGGGTTATAGTAATGACATGACAGGGGGGTTATAGTAAAGACATGCTGGGGTGGTTATAGTAATGGCATGACAGGGGGGTTATGATAATGACATGACAGGGGGGTTACAGTAATGGCATGACAGGGGGGTTATAGTAATGACATGCTAGGGAGGTTACAGTAATGACAGGACAGGGAGGTTATAGTAAAGACATGCTGGGGAGGTTATAGTAATGGCATGACAGGGGGGTTATGATAATGACATGACATGGAGGTTATAGTAATGACATGACAGGGGGTTATGATAATGACATGACAGGGGGTTATGATAATGACATGACGGCGAGGTTATAATAATGGCATGATGGGGAGGTTATAATAATGGCACAATTGGGGGTTTGACAGGAAAACAGGAAGGTTATATTAATACAAAATCGGAGGTAATATTAATGTGATGACATAGAGGTACATTATGTAGTATTGGGATAGTGAAAAAGGGAAGCAGCTGATGTGAAAAAGGGATCATAATTTATTGAACAATCTGGAGAAGTTTTAGTCTTGGAGACATGGGCCCAGGCTGCTGGCCGAGATTCCTTTGTGTCTGGCAGTGTTGGACAGGCCATTGTGTAGCATATAGGGCCAGACTCCCTATATACCATTGTACACAGTGGGCTGCTCTGTCGACCCCTCCCTTCGGCTGTAAGCACAATGGCTTTGTTTTCTTAGGCCTTGGCATGTTTAAATTCAAATGTTTGAGGAAAGATTCAAATACATGATACTTGACGCTAAATATAATCTTTTGGCTGGCTTTGTATCCGAGACAACCAAATTCTAAGATAGGTGCGGCTTTGAGTACACATTTAACGTCAGCGTCCCTACATATAACCTATAATCTGCAGATTAAATATACTCGAGAAAATGTCTAGAGAATATGACAGATGTCCATGTTTACATACTTACCAATAAATTCAAACAAAGAGACAAGCGTGATGTCATATCGGTGGGCTGGATAAGGCCAGGCTATGTATAGGTAGATGGGGAGAACAGTGATGTTTGTATTGGTTGAGGTGGGCCAGGCCAACATATGGCGTTTCCTCACTATACACACAATGCAGCTCAAGGTAATATACTTTTGCACCTTGTTCCACTTTATGTTACTAGGAAACCAAACAATGACACAAATCTAGTCATAAAAAAACAGGGGTTTTAGACATGGAGGAGGATATACACACAGTGTCGCTCACAGGTAAAGGAACAATACTTTATAAATCCATTGTCAACTCGTAGTCAGATACATTATCGCTATATTTAAATCATTGCTTTCCTAGTAGACAAGGGAAAATGAGGTTGACAATTCTATGGGGGGGGGAAAAATAGATTCCGTGTTGACAATTAATGTACTTATTATTTAACATGTCCTAGAAAGCATCGGACTTGATTTAATTCCTTTGCACTTGGATGAATTTAATTGTTTCCATCAATATCATGGAAAAATCATATTGAGTATTGAACGACTGCTTATGTTGAAATATAACTTCTCTATTGATCTCAGTGTTAGGTTTACATGAATCATCCACTTCATTTTCTTTCATGAAAGGACTGTGTATATGGCTTTACAGTGTAATAGAACATGAGGTTGTTTTTAACTGAAGTCACTCACACGTATGTATTGTGGCAGGGTTGGGACTAGATGAAGATTCTGTGCGTTCGTTGGTAACAAATCCTGGCTAGTCGGTATCCCTTGGGGTTAATAGAGCGGCCTCGGAGGAAACCTGACTAAGTCACACGCATTAAATATAGATCTGTTAGATGAATGTTGCCTGCGATGAGGGCTGATGGCACTATTGATACTAGGTAAACAAACTAAGCAGCCAAATACAAAAACATGCATTGGTATAAAATTAAAAAATGTTCACATCGTGTTATATATATTTATTGAATTATTACAGAGTATGTGTGGGGATAATATTTATTTTGCTATTGTCTCCACATTTTAAATAAATGGCTTGGAATGATTTTGGTATATGACGCGTTCAGTCACCATAGTTTCTGCATGTATTTGTACTGTTGAATGATTTTGGTGTATGATGACATGTATAATTATCTGCAAACAAGATGCGTGTATAAATGACACATTGAGAATGGTACGAGGATGACCATATCCAATTGTATACAGTCTTTGTAGACTGGGTACGTGTGAATCACTTTTTTACAACATGAATCACTGGTATGACTTGGAAACTAGTCACAGAATCATTTCTATATTTGGTCATGTTTTATAAGAAGATCCTGAGGTGCCTGGTAGTGCATTATAGTTTTATAAGATCATATAGTACACCAATGTATCTTTAGCAGTGGTATCAGCCAGACGTTTAGTGTAGGTGTAAGAACACTGTTCGATTCAGTACCAGTAACCTTATTTTCAGGACGTTGGATTAATAATTCCTTTGATTGAATCGTTTTGATTCTCAGTAAGTCAAGTCACCTTCAAAACTTGTTTTTCCTCAAGTTAATGAAGTGATGGTTTTGAAGTTGTAATTTAATGCTTTGTTCGTTTCAGAAAGTTATTACATATTATCCTGTGTTCATATACTGCCAATGTTTTGAAAGCCCTTGAAAAAGTAACATTCTTTGTGACCTTAATAAGTTTGGATTTTTAATCAGCTGCCTTGAAATGATACCATTCTTTTGTTTCTATGCAGTTAATTCATGGATTTTCAGGCCATAAATGTTGTTGTATTACTCGTTCTCATGGCTTCATTAGCGAACCGTCCTCATGAATATTTTAACAAAATTGAAAGTGACTAAACTGACACTGAAGTTGATTGTTTTATGGAGTCATTTACTTGTATTTGATTTTCATACAAGTACCCCTCTGGTTTCTCTGGAATCAATTAGTTTTCAATCTTGTGATATAATTATGTGACTTTTGATGACGGGAAAGTTTTAAATTGTAATATTTTTGAAGTATAATGCTATTATGGTTTATATTTGTAATTTTCTTAATATTGATTCTGATGTACATGCAGGACATGTATATGATTTAATTTGTTATTGGTAATATCCTGACTTATCTTCCTACACATTTAATTTCCTAGAATCTTTCGTTTCGAATCATTGTAATTTTATATTGAAGAACTCTCATGTTATTTAAAGAAATATGCATAGTTTTATTTGCAAGTATGGCAATACATTATGTGTCTAGAGGTTTCTAGAATGTTATTGTTTGTGTATCATGTCTGAACAAAGTAACTCATGTGCATTTCTCGTTGTATCTTTACAGAAATGAATGAACGCAGAGGACCACAACTTGTTGACTATGTCTCATTATAATGGAAATTGAGCCATTCTCCTACATTAGAAGTCCTGTGAAAGGTGATTTAGAGACATTTTCGTGCATCAGAAACCAGAGTGACCTGGAGAAGTTTTCCTATATACGAAGCCCTCCAGAGACGTTTTCGATACCTTGTGTGCCTGTGAGATCCGAGCCCAGCCCCTCTCGTCCACCGCAATCTAGTCCGCGAATCTCCACCTCCAACATGGTGGTGGACCTTCAGTCTCAAAACCCCTGTGTGGTTACAGCAGACCCTTCTGTGCAGTCATCGCCACATGACTACAAGCTTCTTCCCCAGGAAGTGTCGCCACGTACTGCATCACATGACTACAAACTCCTGCAGCAAGACATATCACCCCGTTCTGCGTCACATGACTACAAACTCCTGCAGCAAGACATATCACCCCGTTCTGCGTCACATGACTATAACAAGCCATTGATGACGGATGTTTCACCAAGGTCACACGACTCCTATAAAACCTGCACCCAGGACATCTCCCCAAGGTCAAATTTGAGTGAATGTAACAAACGTCAGCAGCAGCAGCAACATGATCAGTTCTCCCCAAAAGGAGGCTCCATTGACTATGAGCACAATCGTAATCTATCACTGCGCACTTCTTCTCATGACTACCGCCTCTTGCCACCAGAGGGCATGATGACACCAAGTCCTGATAATCCACCCTCCATTGACCACTCTGATATCCCTCAAAATGAAGTATTATCATTTAAGGGCATGAACACGCCAAAAAACAGCCCCCCACAGCTGTCTCCAAAACAGCTTGACTTGGACCATGGAAGGTTCGACTGTGGTCCAAAACAAATGGATTTTGATAGCATGGATCAAAATAGCGGGTCAGATCAGTCACCTTGTCAAACTCCTGAGAAACATCGGTCCCGGCGTAAACAAACTATCGAAGACATTGTGAGACGCATGAAGGGATCAGAAAATGGTTACTATAGTGACAGTGAAGAGGAGGAGGAAGATGATGGAGAAGACACCCTGAATGGATCCATTTCCATGGATATGCACAATGGCGACCCAAAACTTGGTGAGAGTATGTGTGGTATAAGATGTGGGCAGGACGAAGTTGATGGCGCTCCTATGCAGATATCTGGCTTGAAAGCCAGCGACAATGACAGGCAACCTAGTATTAACAGTGGTTCCACGAGCAATGGGACCATGGCGAACGGTCTGGATGGAATGTCCTATAAAAATGGCAGCATTTCCTTAGATACAGAGAACATCCAACCAGACCACATGCGACAAATGGAGAATGGCAAGGACAACAAAGATGGTTGTGAAAATAAAGACATGTCTGCGGAACGACAACAGATCAACGCTATCATGGACAAAGTAGCAGAGATTACAGGCGGGAACAAATCACAAGACTTCACCACTCCCAAACAGAATGGCAACTGGTTCCACGGAGCATTCAATAGTCTTCCTCTGTTCCCCTTTCCTCCAAGTCCTCTAGAACATCATCTAAACCCAAACTTTCTTCCCATGTTTGATGGCAAATTCCCTTCCTCACAAGAGGTGGAAAAAGATTATCTCAAATGTCAATTCTGTGAAAGAACATTCAGACGCCAAAAGAACTTAGAAAACCATATTGAGAACACCCACCATGGGAAGACCACTACGAGAAGAAAATCTTCAGATGGCACTGACATGTATTTCAAATGTACACATTGTCCCTATACCACCAAGCATCAGAGTAACCTGTACGTCCATCTTCGCATCCATACAGGTAAGTCCTCACTGGTCAGTGTAAGGTCAACCAAGGTCACCTTGAGTCATATAGATGTGACTTAAGGTGGCATGTTTGAACAGTTCTCTGACTTGACCACTAAGGATGATAATTACATTATAGTATTCTATAATAGAAATTCAAAGAACAGATTTTACAGTAAAGGACATGGTAATAGTACAGAGCTGTCAGAGGTGACCCAGGTATAACACTGAGTTTTTCACAGATGTGATATTTGGCCTAATGTAGAAGGGTGATAATAACAACTAGATCATTAAACGTTAGCTCAACTATGTTTTGGAATGACCCAAGTTGCCTCAATGCAAGGAGTCGAACCCTGCCTACCAGCACTGGGCTTTGAAACTCTAGACCTCTCTGACTAAAAAGAAAGGTATATCCAATTAATAATATATACAATTCACAACAGTTTATATAATATAATATACGCTAAATAATTCGAGTGAATTTGTTTCTCTCTTTATTGTTTATTTAGAACTTTCCAGCGGTTTCTGCTGGCAAAGCAGTTGTTATTTTGTAAAAGATTTTCTTCAATCTTGCAATTTTCAGTAAAATTCTGATGTCGTCACTGAATTAGGTTATCAAGGCTGTTATAGTCTTTGACTCACAGAGCTGATCCCCAGATCTCGAAGGCTTCTTGTCTAAATACTTGCCTAGGGATTAGATTAATTGCTACAGGCACCTGTTTTAATGATTTAAGACCAAAGATTGTGATAAAAGGTGTGATACTAGATGCCTTGACAATCTTAGATCAGTTTGTCCATGTCAACGTTCTAGTCAACTAATTATCTCTTAAACAGGTGTTAAACAGAAATTTGAAAAGGTTCTGAATTGTATTAATTCTTCATAAAAATAATGATAAATGGATTTGTTAATCTCGAGAAAATCTCTCATTGGGTTTGTTGGCCAAGGCGTTGAGGTTTCTTCTGGTTCTTGTTTTGTTCATTAAAAGCTGTGTGGTTTGAAATTAATAGTGGTTCTTTAGAAATGGATATGAATTTCATGCTTCCTGCTGCTGGCTTTTTAGTTGATAATTAAGCACCATCTATTATAGCATTGTTCCAGTGACCAATCTAAATATTCACATTGATTGTCTGCTGGTGTTAAAATATTGGATTTTGCTGTTTTCTCAAAAATCAGCCATACAAGTTTAAATAGAATCTAAAATTCAAATAATGATTAGAAAATTATTATAGCTTGATTTAGATTTGTTGGCTATACAGCTGAAAAATTGATTAAATATCATACTAATGTTTGATCAAATTAGAAATTCATTTAAATCATTATATGTCGCATTCAAGAAAATAGATTAGGAAATCTTAAAATTGCCTATGGATTGATTGCAACAGAAAAACTTGAGTTTCCCTGTTTTATGAAACTTGTAGAATCCTAGAGAAGGATTTTGATCACATGATTCTGATTACATAAGATTGCAGGAATTTAATGGAAGCAAAAACTATCCAAGTGAAACCAGTATTGTTTTCATTCTGTTCCGAATACCCTCTAATGTTAGTAAGGTATTGATTTGTGTATGATCAGTGTTGGTACGAGTTTAAGGAAAGATAACTCTTGCATGTTGGATCTCCTGGCTTATTATTCAGTAATTACACTGGTCTGAAATTCAATCGAAGGAAATGTGACAGACTTTAATTGCTCTCAAGTTTGGAAGATTGCCAAGCAGGGTTTTCTCAAACTCTGCAGCTACTCTAAAACATTTTAATTACAGTGGTGCATTTCTCTGTGTTTGATAAAAGTTGTGTTTAGTGAGGGGGGTTTTAGGGGTGGATGACAGTCAGCCATACTACCATGTCTTATGATTGAAACGAGGATCTTGAAATATGGCCTTTTCTCTTGTTAGACATGCTAAGACACCCTCAATAAGTAAAGTAATTAAACTGCTTGCAGTGTTTGATGTCACTGAGATTGATTCTACAACTAGGAGAGAGACTCTAACTAAAAGCCAAGAATCCATCACCCCTGGTAACCCTAATGCTCTTGGTGCTCCTCCGCTGGTGTGCCGGGAAACTATTGTTTGTAGGTTGTGACGATGGAGCTACAGCGGATTGCAGCCATGTGCAATTGTTTTTACACCACCGCTGCAGTCACTGCAAACTCGGTGTGCATCACTTGCAGGTTATCATTAGAACATGTCAATCTTAGGTTGGCTTCTTCAAACCGGTGTATCTCCTGATAGTAATTTGCACTTACGGCGGTAGTGCTTTGTGAAAAACTGAGTACTCTTAAAATTTACACTGGGGGACTAGGTCAGGTATTTGACTTCCACTTCCTTTTTCTGTGAACTGTTATTTCCCATCTGTGTCTCAAAATAGTACACTTGATTGTGCGAACACACAGAAGTGTCGACCCTTTTTTTTTGTAATGTTGTATTATTTCCCATGCACAGTTCCTTGATCTAAGGGGATGAATGGGACTTCATTAGAACCTTGTACTTTTGAAATATTTGTATCTTGAAATTGAATAGGAACATTTCAAAATGTTTCATAGTGCTTTTAAAACTAAAATGATGGCTGTGTCAAATGCTTTAAGAAAAATTTAGATATTTAATATATCATAGTAGGGATATTAGATGCATAACATATTCTGTGTATTAAACTATGTATTGTTTTCTAAGGAACAAGAAAAGTGACAGTATATAGTTAAAGTGTTGTACTGCGGTAGATGTTTCTGTTTCGTATTGCAGTAAATGTGTTGAGTACAAACATGGTCGAATTTTGTTAATTTAAGAAAAAATGAAATATTATTCAGGAACATTTGAGCTTCAGATGTGTTTATTGTAAAGTAGTAAGATTTTCTGCGTGTATGTGTTAGTTTAATGTATGTTACATGGAATTAGCTCATTATGTGTAACAGGGGAGTGTATGTGTCACCACATTATATGTGTTACAGAGGAGTGTATGTGTCACGAAATTATATGTGTTACAGGGGAGTGTATGTGTCACCATATTATATGTGTTACAGGGGAGTGTATGTGTCACCACATTATATGTGTTACAGGGGAGTGTATGTGTCACCATATTATATGTGTTTCAGGGGAGTGTACGTGTCACCATACTATATGTGTTACAGGGGAGTGTATGTGTCACCACATTATATGTGTTACAG